TCTCGATCGACCTGTGGGTCCGGTGGTTTATTGGATGTTTAGGGATCAAAGGGTGAAAGACAATTGGGCGTTGATGCACGCCGTTGATGAAGCCAACAGAGCCAAAGTTCCTGTTGCTGTTGCCTTTAATTTGTTCGATCAATTTTTGGGGGCGAAATCTCGGCAGTTAGGGTTTATGCTTAGAGGTCTGCAACAACTTCAGTATGATCTCGAAGAAACACTTCAAATCCCTTTCTTCTTGTTCCAGGTGAGTTAATTTGCCGTAAATGTTCATCATTATCCCTTTTTAGAGAACCTGGGGAAGACCTAATTTGTTGATTTAGTTTAAATTCCTGAAATACATCTGTGCGATTGTCGATGCTTTACAAATCACCATGATTTCTGGTTTTGTATCTTTAATTTCTTTGAGATTTCGATAATCTGCTAGCAAGATAAGTTGTCATGCGCCATTGGAGGTGCAATCAGAAGAGCTTTATCTTTGATTGCTTCGTTTGTATCACTATGACTAATAATTTTCAGGGTTGGCATTCTTAAGGGGGAAGCTGAACATACTATACCAAATTTCATTAGAGAATGTGAGGCTTCGCTTCTGGTTACGGACTTCTCGCCGTTACGAGAAGTTCGAAAGTGTAAAGAGGAAATTTGTAAGAGGGTAGATGAATCAGTTAAAGTTCATGAAGTTGATGCACACAATGTGGTACCCATTTGGATTGCGTCTGAGAAATTGGAGTATAGTGCAAAAACTTTAAGGGGCAAGATAAATAAAAAGCTCCCGGAATACCTTATTGATTTCCCTGCTCTGCTTATACCAACTAGAAAATGGCCTTCCACTGATAAGTTTATTGATTGGGACAGACTTATTGATGATAACTTGAGGTTAGAGCATTATTTTGTTTTGATTTATATTGCTTAAACTTTATTTAAGTTGACATTTCCCTGTTACCAGGAAAGGAGCAGATGTTCCTGAAATTGAATGGTGTAAACCAGGGGAAAAGGCTGCAATGGAAGTATTGATGGGCAGTAAAGATGGGTTTTTGACTAAGAGGTTGAAGAGCTATGCCATAGATAGAAACAATCCATTGAAACCTAGGGGACTCTCTGGCCTCTCCCCATATTTGCATTTTGGTCAAATATCCGCACAACGCTGTGCCTTAGAAGCTCGTAATGTTCGTAAACTCAATCCACAGGTAATGCAAAGAAAAGGGTTTGGTCGATCCATTTTTATCATTTAATGCAATACTATGGTGGCGGTGTGAGCTTGGAAGTATATGTTCATATAACTGTTAGCTCCTTCTTGAAAATGTTTCTTTTGTGAATCTGTTTCAAAAAATGGATATATTTTGTATGATTCGTTCTGTATTTTCTCTTTTGCATCATTTTTAAGGCCGTTGATATGTTTCTCGAGGAGTTGATTGTTAGAAGGGAACTTGCTGATAATTACTGCTACTACCAACCACACTATGATTCACTGCTCGGGGCTTGGGAATGGGCACGTAAAACCTTGATGGATCATGCTTCCGATAAGCGAGAACATGTTTACACGTAGGTGAGCCTTGGTGCTAATATTCAATTGTAACTGGTTTTGAAATTATGCAGTTGCTGTTGAATTTTCAGGAGGGAGCAACTGGAGAAGGCGCAGACTGCTGACCCAGTTAGTATATGAACTGATTAGATTCTTTTCTTTTCTTTTCATTTTTTGCTGTTAAAAAACTCACATTTGGCATAACATTTTTCAGCTCTGGAATGCTTCTCAGTTGGAGATGGTCTTCCATGGAAAGATGCATGGTTTTATGAGGCAAGTATTAATGATTTTTCCAGTCAATAACGCATTGTTTACCTTTTACCTCTCTGCAATATGTTCTGCTTGAAACATTATTGTTCTGTTTTCCTCTTTCTTTGTCCCTTGATGATAATTTTGTGCTCCCGAAGTCCTGGAATGTCATATAGTGAAATTCATGCACAGGATGTACTGGGCCAAAAAGATTTTGGAGTGGACAAGAGGACCTGAGGAAGCCCTGGAAATTTGCATATACTTGAATGACAAGGTATATTGTTTCCAGTCTACACTTTTATGTGCTTCTATTGAAGTGGTGAAAATTGCTAATCAAGAATGTGGCACGCAGTATGAAATCGATGGGAGGGATCCAAATGGATACGTCGGGTGCATGTGGTCGATCTGTGGCGTTCACGACCAGGTTTATCATCACTGTTCATTTATTATCAGCTACTCTCCTTCATTATTTTCTTGCGCATTCTTCTTGTTCTCCTTGAGCAATCCCAGCTTCACCGAAATCAAGAATTTTGTTTCTCATCTTATGTCGGCTAATTAAGGGGTTGATCATGGGTTTATAAGTAAGGAACAGATCTCCATTGGTACGAGGCTTTTTTGGGAAACCAAAAGCAAAGCCATGAGAGCTTATACTTAAAGTGGGCAATATGATACCATTGTCGAGAGTCGTGATTTCTAACCTAACCAACCTAGAAAGTTGGTTTATTTCTCGAGTCACTACCTTGTTATCTTTTCCGTTTGAACATGAGAAACATATATTTGATTTTATATTCTTTTCCCTTTGCAATGTTTGGTGTTTCAAGGGCTGGAAAGAGCGACCTATATTTGGGAAGATACGATACATGAACTTCGCTGGGTGCAAGAGGAAATTCGATGTGGATGGCTACATAGCTTATGTGAAGAGAGTTGTGGGTGAAGTGAAGAAAAGAAAAGCAGGGGAGGTTGTGGTGGATAGAAAGGCAAAGGAACTCCGATGCTAGTAACCGTAGTGACAGTTTCACGAAAGAGAACATATATAGCTCCTTAACTACTCATTGTAGTCTGTAACTCGTAAGCCATAGTTGTGTCAATCCTTCCCTTTTGCTGATGAATCCATTAAGCTGGGACGATTAATTTTTTTGTACCAAGGCAATGATATAACCATAGTCCAGATTTAAACTTGGAATGGCAGCAGACGGGGTACTAAGTTTAGGGAAAGATTGGAGAGATGGGTTTGTAATGATTCATGTGGGAATTGTTCTTGAAGTTGAAAGTGTTTCCATCTTGACTCATTGGTTTTGTTCAATGAGAACTACATGTTTATAGAAGGAATCACGATCCATTGAGGTAAAAATCGAGAGAATCGAAGACGGGGAATGAAGTTGGATGCTCGCTCGCCAGAATCGGGTTGCAGATGGTAAGAGACAGCGGGTCCAGTTGTTTTCTTGGAATTTATGTTATAAAACCTCATGATTAATGATTTAATAATAATAAAAAAGATTATGTTCAAGTAATAACCCAAAAGATTTATAGCATATGAATTAAGTTAGGTACGCTGAGTGGAGACATGTGAGTGAGTGTATTTTATATAATGAATTTATATAAGACTGAACCACAAAATATTTAATCTCTCCTTATAAATCTGTTAATAGAGAAAATTAATATTTCATGTATGATCATATATGAATCAATCTTAATTATGAGTGAGTTATGAACTATTGTCTATGTGGGTGAGTGGTTTTTGTAGCCAATTCAAAAAACATACCATTTTGGTGACTTACTAAATAAGGAGTTTGAAACATAATTTCACGACATGTAAATCATTGCTTCACATATAGGGTAAGTAGTTCCGTAACTTCTGATTTTGGGACTTTAACAATGAAACATCACCGGTCATTGACTCGAGAAGCATAGTCAATGGTTAGATCATGACCAAATTGTTCATTAGGTATAAAATGTTATTACAAGGGTAAACAAAAATAATTATATCATTTGACCCAATTTATCCTACCATGCACAAGAGTGCGTAAATGAAAATTGAGTAATTAAATAATTTTTTTATTTGGAGTTCATAGTTTGTAAGTCCATAAAATCTCCTTGTTCATGGTAATATTAAAATGATCAATTTAGTTGAAATAAGTCTTCTAAATATTCAAATCTCATGTTTAAATCCATATTTAATTTGAAGCGTTCAAATTAATATTTAATATATTAGTTATATTAAATATAAAAGGAGAAATATATATTTATTGTATTTGACTAATAATTAATGTATATAAGATACCTTCAATATTTTATATATTCAAATATATTATTTTAAATTTGATAAAGATTTTATTAAAGTCTCATGAATATAACTATTGGGTTGAGCCAAATAAGTATGTTATAGCTGAGAATATGTTGTCACTATTCAAGTTATAGCTGAGAATATTGTGGAGAAAGCTCTATATCTCATGGAAAAATGAAGTGTCATTTGGTTGAAATACATTCAAGAAACTTCATATCCATGATTAGTATTTTACTGTTTTTATTGATGACGTGAACCATGAATGATACGTGTATATTGTTAGGCAAAAACGACTAAGAGTACCTCTAATCGTGAACTTGAATCAACTATTGAGGGTCTGCACAACATTTTCAATAACTACATATAATGATTTGCACGGTGTGGAAACTAATAACTACATATAATGATTTGCAAACTATTAGCCAGTTGCTAGTTACTATCGTGGTCAATTAGGATATGCATTTGTATCAATTTATATGACTATGAGGTGGTATAGATAGGGTGAGTCCTAAAACAAATGAACATTTTAGAGACATATAAATATAAGTGGGGTTGATTATAAGATCTCCAGCTAATTCTTAGTCGTGAACATGTTCAGATAAAGACAAGGACCACATTGGTAAACGAACATTGTCAAGCATGATGACTCTCCCCTACCCGAGATTAATAGGGAAACCCCAACTAAAACCTATCATAGAAATTGTCTCGATTGACAATGTTCATAGTGGTATGACCAAAATCATGAGTTGGAACCAGCATAAGGTGGCGCATCGAGTACCTATGATATATAAGTTAATCGAGATGTCTTGGAACCCTAAGATAAAGTCGGAACCAATGAACCAAGGAGAGCCCTTGGTTGAAGGATGATTTTTTTTTTTTTTTTTACCATGGGAGAGAAAAAAGACATGAGCAGTAAAGACAAGAAAAGACAAGAAAAGACGAGAGTTAAGAGAGAATTATGAATTCTAAGTTTCAAAAGGTTGAACAAAGTTGCAGAAGAGACGGCAGCTTCACTCACATGGTGGCGCCCCCCTTCTTCTTCTTCTTCTTCTTCTTCTTCTTCTTCTTCTTCCTCGGAGGATCTGTGTTCTTCAATAAAATGGCATTAATATTATTATTATTATTAGTCTTCAACACTAATTAGCAGACCACCACACTACCAACTCTAGAAATCACATCTTCGTATTGCTACTACAAAGAAATCAAAATGACCTACAAACAAACCAGACTACGGTGACAATGCGGCGGCGGTTGCGGCGGCGGCGTTGTACCTGCACAATACCTTGCATTTGACTACGCTGCCGTATACATAGAAACCAGGGGCGATCATTATTCTGACCACCGACGGAATCAGCTTTCTGGCCTTCTCTCCGCTCATGTCCTCCATGTAAACGGAATCGAAATCCGCCTCTTTCTCCACTCTGAAAATTGGCAGATTCGGATGTACGGAGTTTGCCAGGAGGTGTAGAAGCCACACGCTCTTTGACGCGCCGAAGAACGCCTGGAGTAGCGGCTCCGGCCAGGCTCTGTTCCATCCCAGCATCGCCACGATCTCGCTCATTTTCCGGTCACAAAATCGGCTGAAATCCTCGCTGAAATGCTTCGTGCCCTTGCTTAGAACCTCCTCCCACGTTAATTCATGGAGAAAATTGAAACATCCGAAATTCGCGTCGCATCTTTCAATCGGATTGAGAATCTGAGTCGAGGCGTTCTTTTGAAACCCTACCGATTCGAAATCCTCGAAGAAAGCTTGGTTGAGGAGAGCTTCCAGGTAGAATAGCAAACTTCTAGGGTTCTTCGAGAACGAGATTTTGATATCGTAAGGTTGAAGAAGAACGGATATTCGTTCATATACTTTGGCTCCGACGTGACGGAGTTGCAGAGTGAGTGACCGGCTAAGAAGCCGAATCGACGATCGAGATTCCGATACTGAAACTAAGAAATGTTCTATTACTTGCTTCTGATTCATCTGTTGTAAATCCTGGATTTGATGATAATTCCCAATTTGGCAAGGCGAATTGCCGCTACATTCTTCGATTCCGGATTTCAAACTGTGGCAATACGTCTCCAGTTTGTTCAGTTTCTTCTCCAGTTCAGCCATGGCGTATTTTAATCTAGAAGCTTCCATAATCGCCTCGTCTCTCTTCCTCGTCGCCTGAACTAGTTTCTGCGAGAGCTCCGTTACGGCAGTCCTCCATTGCTCCTCTCGAGCCGTTAGGGCGGAAGATTCATTAATCGATTTCGGACTCCTCCGCGTCAACGACGAAATTAATGATTTGAAAATCCCATTAGGGCTCGCCATGGAGAAATACGTCTGTTTATTAACGCCATTGTTGTTATCCAGAGGAACGACGGAGATTTTCTCCCGCGCGTGAGGACGACACCGGTTGCAGGAGACCGGACCATCGGAACTCGACACGGAATCCGACTCCGACTCGGACCGTTTCTTAACCGTCTCACGATTGAGCGGTGTAGAGTGAAGGTTCGGACTCGTTCCCCGGTCCGTACATCCGACAGCGGCAGTGTTCTGAGTCCGATTCTGAGCAGCAAACTCATCCTCCCGTTCTTCCCTCTCGCATTCTTGAATCTGCAATGAAACTCATGATATTCCGTAGAAGAAAACAGGGGGAATCTTAGAATTTACGGTTTGAAAGACTCACCGGCGTGAAGTGGGAGCGTGAGTGGTGTGTCGGAGCAGCAGAGGAGGAGGAAGGAGAGGAATAGAAGGAAGTGGGTGAAGGAGGCGCCATGGATGAAGAAGAAGAAGAAGAAGAAGAGGTAGGTGGGAGAGGAGGAGGAGGAGGAGGAGGAGGCGGAATTAAGGGCATTGGCGCGGTGTTTGGTTGTCTCTCATTTTCTCGGGCTGCAGTTTCGTCGTGTTGTAATCATGATTATGATTCACAGAGCAGAGAGATAAGAGAGCTTCTCAACCCTAAGAGATTAAAAACAAAACGCTCTGAAATTTTCTGGGCGCCGAACACCGGAAAATGATAACTCCTATGGAACCAATTTTCCATTCCCCAAAACCCACACAATGGGAAAATCCAAATTATTATTATCCTTAAATTTATAAAAATATATTTAATTTTCAAAATTTTAATTAAAAACAAATAGTTGAAAGAGTTTTAAAATATTATATTTTTGTTTTTTTTTTCATAGGTAATGAATGAATCCAAATTTTTATTTTATTTGAATTTGAATTTTTGGATAAATGTAATGAGTCCAAACTTTAAGTGCACGAGTATTCCGTAGATTAAATAATGATATATAGTTGAGAAAAAAGCAAAAAACTAAGAGATTCAAATATTAGCCCTATTCTATTCTATTTTATATTGTTTTGTTGTACCAATAATGAGATTCTCTATAGCCCGCTTCCGCTACACGCTACATTAGAATATTCCCCCAATCCGTTATTTAAGTTTTATTTATAATCTAGCCTACCTGAACAATTAGACATCTAACGTGTAATTGCAAGAGCGAAATTTTACCAATTAAGCTATATCCCCTCGAGTCTAGTGAGGTAATAAGTAGTGTTTCGTAAGCAATAGTGTAGGTTTTCTTCGCCCCACTTTTTGGACAAGTGAGTATCAGTGAAAGAAAGTACATGGATGATTGATAGATGATTAGTAGCTGGTTCGAGAGACTGATGAAGGTATTATATTATATTTTTTATTTATAAAATATTATTGAATTTATTGGTGGAGGTGGGGATTGGGAAATAAATGAGGAAGGTAGAAGTGTTAAATGAAAAGGGATTGGGAAGCATTCAATGTATACAACTGCTTCTTCTCCCTCCATCTATCCGCATTTATTATTTTAACTCTCTGGACGATGAAAGTCTCTCATTCACTAATTTAGAAATGGAACGAGGCATTTTGAGAAAATCCAGAGCAAAGCTATAAAAGTTTATGTTATGGATAGTCGTGTTCATCTAACACATTTAATTTTAATTTTTAACTCAATTTTAATATCAAATATAAATTTATTATATTATATTTAAAAATAATTTTTCAAAATTAAATGTTAGAAATAAATAAATAAATATTTTACAAACTATATATTTATTTTTATTTAAAATAAAATGTGACAAATGATTGGAACCAATCTTAAATTAAAAAAAAAAATTATAATGATTAAGTCGAATTTATTATTTAAATTGAAAATTGTACCGAAAAATATTACGCCCCAACCCAAACATCTAAAGGGTCAATTTTCATCAAATTTATTAATGCCTACAAATAAATTAAAATGAGACAAAAGTTTAAAAATGTCTCCTTAGAAAATTCAAATGCTACTTTATAGATATAAAAAAAATTATCACTAAAAATAATAAAAAAGACTTAATAAGGTAATTATTCCCTATAAACATTTTAAGAAATAAAAAATAAATGCCAAGGTTAATTAATTTTTTTGATATTTTCTTAATTATATATTTGTGATGTATTAGGTTAAATAAGTTATAATTAATAAAAATACAAAAATTAACGATAATTAATTCCTTTGGTTTATTATACTTAAAAGTAATTATTTTATATTAATTAGGTCAATTTAGTAATTTTCTTCTCAAATATAATTGGAAAGGAAGATGGATAATAAATGGTAATATTAATTGAAGTTTAATTAACTTCAATCATTTGCTCATTAACTCAGATAAAATCAATTAGCTGGATGAAAAATGTCATTAATATTTTTTTTAGCTTAAGTAAATGTTAATTTTTTAGAATATAATACGCCATTTATCCGGTCAATTAAAAAAAATGTTAATTAATTGAATTTTTCTTTAATATTTTAATAAAATTTGAATTCAATTACATTGTTGAAAATAAATAAATAGACAACATTTAACATTTCTATATTGAATAGTCGTTGAAGTTCATTATGTTGATACGAAAGTCAATGTGGTGATATTTCTCGATTCGAAAATGGGTATTAAAACCAAAGACTTAAAAAACAAACAAGGTATCCATTGGCTCATAAAAACTATCAACAAAAGATGGATGATGGAGAGAAAAATGCAATGATGTTCCCCACGAACAACGACTAAATATCTACAAATAGAGCTGACTAAAACATGGACGATGAATAGAATGTCTTAAAGAGAAAAGACTACGAAATCAGAAAAGAAAATATTATGATTTGGAGAATTGAAATAAAAGGTTTCGACCACTTTTTTTCTCCTCTCTTTAATTAAATTAGAAAGATTATTGAATTTGATCGCTACATCGTAACTAATTCTCTTTAAAACGAGAAATCGAATAGATGGCTAATGGCCTTTGGCTTGTGGGCGTCTCGTACATCAGCACTGCAAGGTGACGCGCTGCCTGGCCTTTGGCTTTCGCGGCTGGTCCTAACTTATAACGGAACCCAGCCCCACCCAGAGACGCAGGCCCCAGCCCCTCTGCCACTGCAAGCAGCCTTTGCCCCCAAACCATGGATTGGATATTTGTTGTATTCTCCGGCATCCGCATCACTGCCCCCCACTTGCATTTGACTCCCACGTAACCCCCCACTGGGCACCCCACCTTTCTCAAAAACCAACAAATGCAAACCAACCCCACTCAAATTTACTTGTGGAAAAGTCTTCCCGATAATATCACATCTAGGCGTGTGCTCCTTCCTTATAAACTCATGACCATTCCAATTATCAGCCAACTTGTACTCCTTTTTAATAATTCTCAACAACAGTTCTTGACCGCTTATCACATGAACATTGATTGTGACACATATATATGTTTTTGAGTATGGAGCAAAGATTTTAGTATTCAAAAGTTGAAAGTGATCTAAAACAAAATTTGAGACGATTGTTTTCGAGTTATTGTGTTAAAAATGCGACTAGTCTTGAACATTAACCAAATAAAAGGAATATTGAGAATATAGAGACAATGTCCTAATCCAATTAGGTTGTTTTCTATGAAACCAAAAGAAAAAACAAGCTAAGTTGAAAATTGTGGTCCTAACAGAAAATGTTTGCTAAAACTATCTTATCCGTGAGAAATGGAATGAGAAAAGAAAATATTTTATTATAATAAAAGAGCAAATATGATACCTAAGCTAACTAAATTGGTATTAGAGTCGTGATCGGAACCATGTTTGTAAAATCTGGAGTGTGGTCTCCGACTGTCGGATATTTCTTTGTTTCTTTCTTCCATTTTGAATTCTTTTCTCCTAATTATTCCAAAATGTTTCTTATCGGCTCTGAAATCAGAGTACCGATCATCTTTGCGGCTTGTTTCGATACCGATTTCGCCCTCAGTGATTTTTCATCGGTTCGCTTTGCGAGATCAGGATTCAGGAGCAGCAATGTCTTGCAATGCGTGCAAATTCTGCACGGCGCTGGATGCTTAGGTTTCGATTATGATCCTCTATGTTCTAGGTATAGTCGATCTCTCCTATTACGCTCTGCTCGTCCTCAACTATGGTCCGCCTCTCTTAGTTCTAGGGACCTAATTCTTCCAATTTCTTAAGAGTACGAACTTAAGATTAGCTTGTACATTTGCTTTTTTTCTTCACTTGTTTCTGCTGAGACGAATTTATTAGCTTGTAGAATAGAGTTATGCAGAGAATAGAGTATCTCTGGGATTCTTCTTTTCGGTTTGCCAGAATTACACAAAAGAGAATAAACACTTTGCCTAATTCTGAAGTTGGAATGATATGTTGTGGTAATATTTGTATGTTCATCTTTGGAATGGCAAATGTATATTTCATAAAGCTTTAAACCGTCAATTTACCTATCTGTTTATGTAGTTGTTGATGCTATTATGGAGCTACTTTTCTGTTGTTCTAACAAATCCGGGGTGTGTTCCACCGCCCCGTTGCCATCACTGTTTTGTTTGTAAGTTCTTCGATGTTTTCCTATAGAAGTTTACTATGATTCTAGCTGGTAAACAAGATATAAATACTGATTATGTTTTGTTTGGTAGGTGGAAGGTGTGTATTGAAACTGGACCATCATTGTGTGTTGGTCGTCAATCGTGTTGGAGCAAAGTACTATCAGTACTTCCTGCTATTTTTGGTAGGCACAACAAGATTATTGGCTTCCTTCTGATCTCTAGTTCCTTGTTTCCATGGTTCTCGTTGTGTTGGATGCTCTCTTTGGGCTTTCCCTTTTGGGTTTTCCCTCAAGGTTTTTAAAGTGCGTTTGCTGGAGAAGGGAACGAGTGCTAGCAAGGACGTCGGGCCCCGAAGGGGTGGATTGTGAGATCCCACATCGGGAGGAGAACGAAACATTTTTTTAGAAGGGTGTGGAAACCTTTACCTAGCAGATGCGTTTCAAAAATCTTAAAAGGAAGCCCGAAAGAGAAAGCCCAAAGAAGAGAATATCTACTAGTGGTGGGCTCGAGCTCTTACATATAATATCCGGTTCGAAAATAAATGATGCCTCTTATATAATCATGTATCGGTGGATCCTAGTTCTTCGGCATTTTGTCGTTGACATAACCTGACATCATAGATATTCTAAATGTTCTATAGAGATGTTTTCTGATTGCGTTATGGTTGCATCATTTCACTGCTCGTTTGTCTTTATGATCTGTGTAAGACAAACGTTTTATCCTTTGAGTACTTGAAAATGTTTCTTCTTCTTGTTTCCATAGTTACAATACTTCAACATTCATCTCTAATTTTGGCTGCTTGTTCCATACAGTCTTGAATTTACCATTTGCAGCGAGTGTTATGAGTTTTCTGATATTGCACGTATCACCGGTAGCAGTCAATACCACCAGAATTAAGGTAAGGCCATCTAGAAGTAGTATTTTGTTTGCTTTGCTTTTAAACATTTAACAGGGGCTGAATTGGTCTATTGGATATTTGATTCTCCATTGCTAGGTGTCACGGTCATGCTCATCCAAGGCGTATTGCCCATGGCTGCATGTCAAACCCCTTGTGTTGTACCACTTTGTTGTTTTCCTTCACCGTATTCATGATGTATAGTTTCCTTATAGTTTCGGAAAAATCATGTCTATGCTTGCTAGATTAAAAATGCCTTGGAATGTACTATAGGGGATGCGATTAGTCGTCAATTCTTCCTACCCGGAATTATATAGGATCTAAGTTGTTGTGTTGCCTTCTTTCCTTATATCCTATAACACTGCTTTCTTCATTTCTCTCAATCTTGCTTTCAAACTCTCTCTCTAAAATCTCTCTCCCCCTGTTTTCTAAAACCTTCTTAAAACAGGACCAGAAGCTTGAGTATACGTCACCCGACCGAAGGCGACACGATTTCGAGTTGGCTGACTCACTCCATGGTAAGAGTAAGTGCCGCACAACCGCTTGCAAGCATTTCGTAAGAGTGCGATTGTGACACAAGGCATACGAGAAGAAAACCACTAAAAAAAATGGCATCATGGCCTTGGTCGCCGAAGAATTTTGAGCTGGTATCTTCTTCACTACTCACTGGCCTCTTCCTTGCTGACATTCACTTATTCACTTATTGATGGTAGATCTCTCTGTTGGTAGCTAGACGCTAATTTTACCATATTGATGTCCATATTTAGTTACAAGCTACCCAAGTTTGTAGAGTTTGATTTGACTTGACTGAGCTATTTAGATTAGATTTGATTTGGTTATTTGGATTAGATTTAGTCATAATAGGGTTTATTATATATATTAGAATTTGATATTGGGATTTGAGAGAGTTTTGGGTGTCATCGTATTTGTTGAGTGACATATTGGTGAGAGTCTTTGCAGCGTGATAGTGAGGTATTCACTTGTAACACTTGGTTTATTAGTGATTGGTTGCTACTTGTGGATATAGGGGAACTTCTTCTCTCCGAACCATGTAAATATCTTGGTGTCTCTTTGTGTAATTTCGTTCATTGGTGTTGTGAGTACATTTATTCCGCTTTGGACGCACAACAACTCTCTCACCAGCGTTTGCTTCCTCTAGTACTTACTCTACTGCTTTCAGCAGATGAAACTCCCCTATTTCTCATCTCTTGTAATATGCTGGAGTTCTTTTGCAAGTGATACTAAATGAATTCATGATTCAGGTGTTGAGAATGGATTAGAAGTACTGGTTTATCGCTGCAGCTTCTCAAGATGACCTAAAGCAGAAGCATAATCTCCAAGGCATCGAATATCCAATAAGGTCAGACTTGAATCTACTTCAGGAATTCTAAAATCAATATCAGAGTTCAATCCCAATGATTAGGCGGATTATTATTAGTATTAATTTGTTAAATTGCTTGATCTATTCAACCTCATATTACAGTGAGTCAGTTAAGGATGGCCAGGGCGGCGGCGGGCTCCCTCCATGTGCATGTGAAGGGAGGAAAGACAGAACTGGCGTCAATAAGTTGGAGCTTGAAAAACAAAATCTCCAAAACTTCTGACCAGTATTAAAGGATGAACTTGTCGATGATGGTGGAGAGTGAGTTCCACCTTGGCTAATTTAGGGAATGATCATAGATTTATAAGTAAAAGAATACATCTCGATTGGCATGAAGTTTTTTGGGGAAGTCCAAAGCAAATCCACGAGACATTATGCTCAAAGTGGATAAAGCTTTTTGGGAAAGTCCAAAGCAAACCCATGAGACTTTATGCTCAAAGTGGATAATGTCGTGCTATTGTGGAGAGTCGTGATTCATAATAGAGATGTCAATCTTTTCTCGAGATTTTTTCCTTGGCAAATGGATTGGGGAGAGAGAGAGAGAGGAGAGATAAATTGTTCATTAAATATTTTTTTTATTAACATATAAGTTAATTTTAATTACTTTAATTTATTATTTATATTATTAGTGAATTGTCTAATATAAATAGTTTAGTTAATTAAAATATTTCAAAATTAAGTCTACTAATTTAAATTATTTTTGCATAAGAAAAACCTATATAATAATTTCATATATATTTATCTTATTAGGAGAGAGTTAAGAAACGGGCATGAAATATTTGATGGTTTTGTTATATTTATTTGTAATTAAAATTTTAAAAATATAGAGTGAAATTTGTATGTTAATTTCAAATTGTTTAATATGGGGCCAAAAAGTAAAGTTTAAAGATGAAGAAAAATTAGGTAGAAAATTCATCATGATGGAATTTTATTACTTAAAAAAAAAATGATTTGAAATTTAATAATACATTTAATTCTCAAACATTAAATAATTACATATCTAATTTAATGTTGAACATTTAAATCATTTAACATTATATGGCCGTATTTAACATAGCATTTTGTTAATCTAAAATAGAGATGTAAAAAAATCATATAATGATGCAATAAATTTGAAAGTGAATCTGATAAATACAATTTGGAAAAAAGAAAAAAAAAAGACAAAGAAAAATAGGAAACTTCTATTATACACAGATGACAAAACTGTATTCACAAGGGTGGAAACGACACCGTTTTGCCTGGAAGAGAAGTCACTTCCGAATGACGAATTCCTCCCCTGATCGTCGATCAACATGCTTAATCCACTTTCCCTTCCCTTCGCCGGAACCTGAATTCGCTCCGCCCGCCGCCACATGCGCAATATCCAAACCCTTTCCCACCGGCAGAAACGTCGATCGAACCAACCGCCGCGTGCCGTTATCCGTAACATTCTTCCATCTGAAACTCGAATCGCTTCTCGAGTTCGCGTTCTTACAAATCAAAACTGCGCCTCTAGAACTCAGATTCGCCAGTTTCAGAACACGACTGAAATTCCTCCTCTGGCTATCCACCACCATAAAATCTATACCTACCAGTCCATCCATCACCTCCTCCGGCTCTCCAACAATCACTTCAGGCACCGATCCTGCTCTCTCCAACGCTCTACAATATTCTCCCCTCGATCTCTCATCAGGAACCACACACACATGTCTCCCTCCAACGTGACGTCGAGCCACCGCCAAACCTATACTCGTCGCAATCGCTCCACCGCTCGACCACGTCTCCACAATGAACTGCGCGCTCCATCCCGCCGCCATCGCAGAAATCAGTTCCGCAACGCCAGATTCTTGTTGGAGATCACACTTCACATAAAACTGAAATAAATCAATCATAAGCTCCAGAAAATCGCAAAAAAGAACAAACGAAACAGAAATCAGAAATCCGTAACGAAATCTCTTACAGATTGAACGGTGTCGATGTAGGCTTTGGAAGCCGTCTCCGGGGACCAAACAAGCTTCATATCAAAATCACCGGTGCGATTCTTTTCTCCGCCGATTGAACTCAAAATCTAGGGTTTTGTGTCGCTCCCTGTCGCAGTCCCGGTTCCGTTATAGTGAAAACAGGAACGAGTTTCCTTTTGTAAATGGGAAAGATACCAATTCGGGGGTAGGGTTTTTATTCTCTTAAGGCATCAAATAAATAAAAATAAATAAATAAATAAGATATGTTTGACCGTTGACTTTTGCCACATTTTTTCCGACGTGGATAGATTAGATTACCACCGTGGTTTTCTTCGTTCTTCCCCAAATTTGTCAACCAATATCTCAAAAATAAATAAATAAATAAATTGTTGGATTACACTGTGGGATTGCTGTACTAAATTTAAATATATCGCCGACCTTCAACTTAATATTATATATTATTTTTTAAAAAAATCAAAATTATGTTTTTTTTTTTTTTTTTTTTTTGTCTTTTTTAAAAATAATAATAAAATAAAAAAACAGTTAGGTTACCTAATTAAAAAAAGGGTGGTTGCAAACGTGGCCGAATTTTAAGAATGTAAAATTAAAAGTAAGATTTGTTTTATAACTAAAATCAATTAAAACTTGTGAAGATTCTACTTTTATGGGAGGTGACCTAAAATATGCTTATAGGTCGGTTTGGATGAATACAGTGAATGTATTTAATACTAAACGTCATACTTTTTAGTAGTCTCTGCCATTTGTCCCATTTTCCTCCCCGTTTCATTAATTGGTTTCGTGCTAGAGATGGAAACCATCATAGATAGTTATGAGATGATATCCTTCCATATATGATGAAATAATCTGTACTATTATTTTGTCTCGTGCTCCTAGATATTCTTTGCTTACCTTTTTGAATCATACGGGCAAACTCTTAAAATTTATATGGTCTAAAAATGTTAATCGATTATCTTTAAATTTTTAATGATTTTTTAAAATTATGGAATATTTTAAAATGCGGTACAAACAGTAAAAAAAATATATTTTTTTAAAGTTTCAGAGTATTTTTTATATATATAATATATATATATTTTTTTTGAAACTGGTGTGCTGTCAAACTTTTGAAAGTTTAAGGTTATCTGTTAGGCAGAGGGACCAAACATTTTTTTTATTAATTTAGCTTTTTATATTATTAGAAATTAAGATTTATTTGACCCTCGTAATAATATTATTGAATTGTCAAAACTACTTTGATCCGTCATTCAAGACCTTTGGTATCTCTACCCACGATAAAAATAATGGGATTGCTTCTTATAGAATTTACATTTTATATTAACGTTTACAAATCATAACTCTATAAATCAAATATAAATTAAAGTTATACGACAAATACTATAAATTTGGATAGTTACCTTTTAACTAAGTTAAATTTTTTATTACTCGCAGTAATTTTTTTTAATATTATATATTCTTAGAAAACTAAATTGTGAAGTGATAATATTTGGGAATTTATACTTGAATCAAAAACCAAAATTTCATTTTATTATTATTATTATTTTTTTTTTTTTATGGGTAAATTGATGCTCCAACCATTTTTAGTTTTATATTTTGAAAAGTCAGATTATGAGTTGAAAAAATAAATAATATTTAAAACATTAAAAAAAATATTTAAAGAGTAAATAGAAAATAAGAAATAGAGTGGAAGCATCGAGAGAATTTCCTGTAAATATTCAAAGCAGAGCCGGTTCAATTAAGCCGACCCATGCGTTAGTACTAAGCAGCCTTGACTTTTTTTTTTCTTTTTTTTTTTTTTTTTTTTTTTTTTTCTTTTCCTTAAAAAAACATTTTCCCTTAATTATCTTCAAAGAATTTGTCTATATGAGACGGATTCTTTCCATTTTCCTACCAATATATGTTCAATCATGTTTTTTTTTTTTTAATTATTATTTATTATTATTCCCCCCGGTTGTTATGGCCCAAGATGATCGTCGTTGCGCAACCCAAAATGTGAATCGTCAACGCGACCCAATGAAAGAAGCACGACTTAGTCTAGTGCGCTCGACCCATGTAAACATAAGAATGACCCGAGCACCCAAGTGACGTGACTTGACCCACTCGATAACCTGTGCGACCCAACCCTTACACGTGCGCACGCGTAACCCCTCTCGACTTACTTAGTGGCTTGATTGACGACTCAACGACTCCAGCGACTTAAAAACAACATGAACAGCTTGGATCTAAGGTTTTGACATCGATTCCAACATTTTTTATCATTCCAAAGCTAATTTTGACCATATCGAAGAAATTTAAGGTTGAAACGAACATTAGGAGACAAAGTCAAGCCAATTTCGATAATTTAGAACTTTGGTTAAGGCCAACCAAATAAGTGGCTCCCATATCATTTTTAGTTTATGATTTTTTTAATGAATGTTTCCATATAAGAAATGTCCGATCATGCATCCAGACATGACCGTATTGTTTAGATAGAATCGTTACACATATCATTATAACTCCACAAAGGACAACTTCATTATAATTCGCAAAACATAGAACTAATTTAAACATGATGTGAACTCTCAAATTTACCATTAAAACACGTATAAATCAAATGGGTCTTACTTTTGGATCCACCTATTAAAAAACGACAAACCATGCATAGTCAACGAAAGAGACCCCACATATAAATCACGATAGAAAATAAATTTGATAGATACGAGGAAGTTTCTAGGACTAGAGAGAGAGAGAGAGAGAGAGAGAGATTTGGGAGGATTGAAGATTTTGAACAACAAATTAATCACGAGATTCACGTCGGTAGGGCTGGCAATGGCAAATTCATCATCAAACTTTGACTAAGTATACAGATCGCCCATTGTTCCCTTACTTCACAAAACCAAACCTAATAAACTTACAACAACACATGTCACTGTCTGTATTCAACCATATCCTATGATCCTATGATGTTCCATATCATTAAACACGTTAATTATATATACTTTATATTTTTTATAATTTCCTATTTGACATTTCATGCTTCTTCTTTAATCTTAGATTAATTCAAGTTGTATGATGCTGATCGACAACAACTGCTTCAAATACGGTATCCGGAAGTACTGCTTATAGAACCTCGATATTCACGTGCTTGTTAGCTAAATGGAACTGTTTATTAAAGCCCCTGATTAGCCAGTTAAGAAGAAAATCATGAATATATAAATAACAAAAATAGGAGAGTAAAGTGGACCTATCATATTATTGAGGAGAGTTGTAAGTATTTTTTTTTGTGCCATCAACGTTGAGATAGTGTTTTCTTTCGGGGGTATTTTTGAAAAATAAAAAATTAATAGAATTTTATATTAATATAATAAAATTTGTTTGGATTTAATAATAAAGTTTGGGACCCTATAAGCTATGTCATAAACCTAACACTTTATATAATAAAGTTGAATTAATTGTAAATTTAGCATAATTTAATTATGATTGGAAATTTTGTAAGCATCTGGAGCGTCTAATCAATAATTATTATAATTACCTTTAAGCAATAGATTTATTATTATTATTTTAATATTAATGCGCTACCGATGGCAAATGCATATAATAAAATTATATTGATTGGCGTAGGTTAGTAATGATTAAAAATACATTATAAATTTAAAGTTTAAAATAAAATAAAATTCAAAATATAAAAGACGAAAATGAAATAATATAAAACGAATTTCTCATTGTTTTTGTTTTTGTTTTTTTAAGTTTTGAAAATACAATTAATAATTTTTAAAACAAAACTTTATATATAATTATTCAATTGAAATAAAATTAAATGTATATTTTAAAAATAAATAAAATAAGGAGCGGTGATGTAAATGTGGGCTTCAAAATGAAAGCCCAATACTTGGAGTACAGAACGATCACATTCCAGTGACAGTATAAAACGCTCTGCGAAGGCCTTCTAGGGTTTTGGTTATTCGGCCGTCGCGGAAGAGCAGCTCTTATCGAACTGAGAACTAGGGCCATCAGAGTTCCGCTGCCGTAGACGATAACCATGGGTCGTATGCACAGTCGTGGGTTTGTTTCTAATCCCCCATTTGTTTCTGATTCATTTCGATTTCATTTGTTGAATGTGGATGAAATTATTCACAACATTGACTCCATTTTTGCATTTACAGTAAGGGTATTTCTGCCTCTGCATTGCCCTACAAGAGGACGCCGCCAAGTTGGCTCAAGATCTCTTCTACTGATGTAAGTGTTTTCTTGACACTCTTATTATATGTTTGCCTGACAGTGAATGCTGCGGGAAAGTTCTGAGTCTTTTTTTTTTTTTTTTTTTTTGATCTGTTGAAATTTGAATTTAGGTTGAAGATAATATCTGCAAATTTGCGAAGAAGGGCCTAACTCCTTCTCAGATTGGTGTGATTCTTCGTGATTCTCACGGTATCGCTCAAGTCAGAAGTGTTACTGGAAGTAAAATCTTGCGTATTCTTAAGGCCCATGGTATTCTTCTTTTCCATATCTTGCTTGACGTTTGCGTCTGGGATTTTTGTTTGTTTACGAGCATTCTTGTCTCTGTAGGGCTCGCACCCGAGATTCCCGAGGATCTCTATCACTTAATCAAGAAAGCTGTCTCCATCCGCAAGCATTTGGAGAGGAACAGGAAGGACAAGGACTCCAAGTTCAGATTGATTCTTGTGGAGAGCAGAATCCACAGACTTGCTCGCTACTACAAGAAAACCAAGAAGCTTCCACCAGTTTGGAAATAGTAAGTTTACTTCGTACGCTGTTTGGTTAGACTGAGAGTCATTCCACATTCCATATGATCAATCCAAAGAATGTAGTTCATGGTTATGGATTGTCTTTGATGTGGTGCTTTATTTTGAAACTATCAAATGATTAATTTAGATTCTTTTTTGTACTATAACTATTTTCGTTCTAATTTTAAACTGTCCTGCCCCGAAGCTTCTGGTATTAGGCCTGGTCTATAGTTTGGGTTCTTATTACTTTATCTAACTGATCAAGAATCATTTAACTTATATGACCAGATAAAATTTTATGTTGCAATGTGCTATGGCTCACAATCTATTACTCAAACATCTAACAAGAAGAAAGAATTTGAAAGAAACAGAAAATAAGTATATTTTGTTTGTTATCCAATGGAAAGTAGTGTGGATTTGTTAGCATTTTTTTAAGAAGAATTTGGGGTTTGTTCGGCATGCCTCTCTCTGCTATGTTTAACAGAGTGAATATCAAATTTGGAAATGGATGGCCTCAAATTTTACTTGTGCAATAGGGAGTTCTGCTTATGCATGTACAAATCTTATTGACTAAATTAGGATTTAGACCTTTGTTTTCATGTGAGTTTAGTTTCTCTGAATCTGCCAACTATTTTTAATAACCAGTTGCTAATCAATCATTGCAAATGTTGTTGGCTTCAACTTTTGATGAATTTTCCCTTTAGGCCTGTGCTTTAAGTCACATGTTCACGTACCATATGAAATGAGTGGACTTCTACTCTCTCTGCTATGTTTTAAGTCACATGTTCACGTACCATTTGCAATATGTAGTTTTATTATCAAGGGCTGGATGCAATTTTCTTTTATTTGTGTTCAAGATTATAGTTAAAACGTCCAAAGCTTATTGACTAAATTAGGATTTAGACCTTTGTTTTCATCCAGCTTTAATTTTTCTGTAACTTCTTAACTTTTGGCTAGATTCAACTTTTGATGAAGATTTCCCCTCACGGGTCCATAACTGGTGTACTTTTCTTTCTTGGATTCTTTCCTTTTATGAATTGTTGGATATAGGCTTCTTAAGAAAAGTGTAGACATGGTATTTCATGATGCTTACATGTGTCCCTGATTGATTATCAACTGCTGCTTTATGACATTTGTTTTTCGTTGCAGTGAGTCAACAACTGCCAGCACCCTGGTTGCATAATTTTCAGTTAGAGTGATTGGTGGCTATATGAAACTCCATCTGTGATCGACTAAAGTCGTTGTAAGGTCAGGTGGATCAGTGAAAGTTGTGAGTTGGTTTTTATTTATGGCATCAGTTTTGACTTCTGTTTTTATTATGGAATCTGTAGCTTCGATCTGTGATCGACTTCAGTCATTTGTGAGGTCAGGTGATTTAGTGAGAGTTGTGACTTAATTTTTATTTATGACATCAATTTTGACTTCTGTTTTTATTTAGTATGGAATCTGTAGACTTATTTAGCCAGATTTTTAAAGAAAATCAGTAAACACGGTGTTGCTTAGATGGTGGATCTTTTAATAAATTTCTTGAGGCAAGTTTGAAAAAAGCTCATTGGATTTTTTCTTTTGATGTCCAATTCGATCGAAGTCATCACTCTAGCACAAGTATTCTTCTTATGGACATGCACTACTTAGATCTTTTGAGGAAACAACCGAACCCACCTATGTTAACTATCCTTTGTGAAAAATATTTTGATATTTTGTTTTTGGATTCAGAATTATATGGATTTTGTTGAAATATTCACAAAAGGGTTTTCCATGATTATAACGAAAATTATTAACGAGTTCTTGATACATAACCAATTCTGAAGTCTGCCCCATTTTGTTCTTGATGCATGACTACCAATTCTTGCCATTGGTAGGCACACCATTTAACGCCTCAAGGTTGTCTATTTATATAATTATCAATGAGCTATTAAATTTTGCACCATTTTTGGAACCATTAATCAAATTTTGTATAGTTCTGTTCTGTTTTTTTTTTTTTTTAATAATTATGACAGTCCAGAAGAAAAACAATGGAAATGTACACTTCATCGACGAACACTTCTAATATGTTGTTTTGATGACTGCCGGTTATCCAAGAGCTACAATATTTCAGCAATAGTGAAATAAAGGACATGGGAATTAAAATTTACAGCAAATAAGGTTCACAAATGTGAAGGAAAAAAAAAAATCAAATGAATTTAGAGGCAGCGTGAAACAAACAAACCACGTGATGACATTGAGCACCAGAAAACGTTGATACCCAAGACTATGTGCACATACCAGTCTACTACTCCTACCAGTTCGGTATGAATGACAACAGGTGACTTGAACCAGCATCCTTTATGCCTGGCATCAAACAACCTACATAAATCATCTGAATGTAATGTAGTAGTAATACTGCCACGAGCACTTTATTTTCTCCGTGAGTAGATAAAAGCATCTCATTAGCCAAATAACAAGCTTCAGCATTGTCAAGTAGACGATCCTCTATACTATGAGATTCAGAACTCTCTGGGGCTGGAGGTGTTTGGTTTTCGGAAGGTGAACTTCCATTGCGTTCATTGTCATCCTCGTGTGTATCATCATCACCACCTCTTTCATCCTTCTTTTCACTAGGACCACTATCACTATCTGCTTTTGGGACAACCTGAACCAAATCTGGCCGTGCTTCTACCCCAACACGTCTCAAGTGCAGCTGTCAAAGACCATTTAATATTAAGATGGGAGCACATATGAATGTAAAAATGGAAAAAGAAAAAGAAAAAAGAAACAGTACTGGGCGTCATATTTACCTGAAGATGCAAGTTTACTTCATCAGGGCGTGAAAGAAATGGGAAATCGCCCCCTGTTTTCAAGTATGCTCTTCTGGCTTCAGAATATCTTTCATTCAGTTGATCTTTGAGTTGCAGTGGAACCGCACAATAGTCATTTGTCTTTGAGGGTCAGGTAACCGTGTCATGAAAAAAAAGACAAAAAGTGAGGCAGAAAACAAGCTATTCAATCACCTTACATAAAAATTTTCAATGCTAATAGGCAGAATTATCAAGTTAAAAGCACATAGCATCATCTAATCATGACATCAAATTACAAAAAGAAACGAATATATCGGAAGTATAGAAGGCATACATCCATTATGGTAATAGACGAATCTGGAAGAAGAAGAGGTCCAATTGAGGCATCATCAACTGTTAGGGTCAGCCTTGAAGCCAAATCTTCTCTAGAAAGCATTTCCACCTGAACTGATGATATTAAATTCAGGGCTAAAGGAACTAGTCAATCAAATTGTATAAGCAATCTGTAAAGTACCATCATCTTTAACTGAGAAAAAGATGAGGCCCTAAGGGTGAAGAGAGGAACGTACATACAATTCATATCACAAATAATAAAGCTGCTAATTTAACCATAAGAGGTGTCTATATGTAGATAAGGGACCAAAAATCTCGGAGAACTTGGAAACTACAGCTGAGAAGGTTCAACAACATTATTGTAAATGCAACTTCTATACTGGGAGCTAATACCATGACACAGAATATTAGCGATCCATAACATACTTCATTGGAATTACTAATATATTGACATCCACAAGAAATAGAGAACCATATAGAACTAATCCATTGCCAACTGAACTGTGAGGGGAAGAGAGAGGGAGAGAGGGAGAGAAAGATCCCAAGCAACACATAGTTTCTTAAAGAGAGCAAGGAGGAGGAATAAAAACTTGCGACTAAAGGTTTAAGACATGAACTGCTTATTGAGATGGTTGCATTGTTTTCAGAACCAGAAACCAACCCAACATCACTAACTTGCCAAAATGGATGCTAAATGCTAAAAAGAAAAGTTGAGTACGCTTCATAAAATCAATCTTATCAAATAAATGATACTAATAATTAAAAACCATGATAATAGTTAACTAAAAATAAGGTTTCAAACTTCGAAGTACCTGAGAAACAACAAAGTCTACAGAATCGGCGATAAAAGGTTCATGCGGACCATCACGAATTCCTGTTAAGACATACCTTTTCAGCAAAAAAGATGGGGCCCAACTAACACTGCATAAAGCAATACCAAAATCCTGCGAGTTAATATTGTAGGACAATGTTATACTGAATAACAACAAAAAATTTGAGTGTGAGATTTTGGATCGGGAACATGTAATTTACAAATTTAGGGTACGTCAGAAACATATTGTTACAGCATTAAAGCTAAGGCTACAAAAATTGGACAAAAGAAAGCTGAACACGCTCTGGAGAGAATTGAAAAAAGTTTGAGGGAGATGGAAAGGGCAAAGGAAATAAATATATATGCCCAAGTCGCCAGTATTAAATCCATTGTATAATATAAAGTAAAATGTGCCAATGCCTTCACTTTCAGATCAGATATTGCAACTTGAGAGTGAAAATGGTCATACAGAATCTCCCGTGTATCAACGCACATGAGGATTTATGTTCCAAAAACGGAGGTTTGGGGATAAAGGATAGGATAAAGGATAGAAAAATCGTAGCATTGCTTTCCAAAGAGTTATAGAGGTCTCCACCTTCATGGGTACAGAAAATTCCAGATAGGATGGAGGTCCAAAATGTGATAGGGGATCAACAAAAGCCCAGGGACACACATCAGAATGCATTCCCTTCAGGCTGGTGCTTTTTTAACCTTCTCAGATAGGAATTGGCAAAAATATTATTCTGTAAATGCAACCAACGATGACTAGTTTTTAAATGGCTCACTAACGGAGAGTCTCGCAGGGCCCACAAAAGCAGTTTAAATCATCCTCCAGCCAGCGATGTGTTGGAAGTATCTGCTACAATAGGGCTGATCAAGATGCTCAGAAGTTGAATAGACTGTTTGATTCGAGATTCAAAACTTCCAGCTGTGTAATCAGAGAGAGATTAGAAGATGGCTAGTATATAGTCCTGCCAGGCATTTTATCATGTAAATCGTTATTCTTTGGCACCTATTAGTATCACAAAATGGAGATAATCTGGAAGCAGAAAATGCCCAAAAAATTAATTAAATTTATTCCTCTGGAAAGAAGCTTTGGGGAAATTAAACGTGGCAGAAATGTTAAAAATGGCTATCCTTATCTAGCCCTAATTTCTAATTGGCAAACCTTCGTAGAAACAGTCTGAAAGACAAGCCCACTGTTTTCGCCACTGTCCTTGTAAAATTAGTTTTCAGAAGAAGCTTCCGTTACTTTGCAATTAGCTGGTGTTCCCGCTTTCTGGCAAAGGAACTTGAGCAATTTCCATGTGGATTTCATCTTAGAGAAAAATGGGGCTTGTGGTCCAATGCCACAAAACCTTTTCTTTAGGAAATGTGATTTTGGAGAAACCATAGGATTTTCAGGGAAGCATCTAGAGATTAGGAAGAAATCTACAACTTCGTGAAATTTTGTGGCATCTAAATGATGCATTCTTTCCAAATCGTTTGGTAACCCTACAAACTTAGGAATGAGAATCGGCCATTTCATGTAAGCTCCCTTCCCTTGTGGTTGTCCTTCTCTTATACTTGAAATTTTATCGATGGAAAAAGTCTCAAGTTTCTCCACTGGACATGATAGGAACATATCTAATTTGTCCAAAATTGCATTTCCAAGTTTATAGTAGCAGAGACTATGGTAGTAGCATAGAAAATAATTAGGGCATCAATAACTTACATAATAACAAAAGTTATTCAGCTCATAAATCTGTACTCAGTAATGAATAAAATAAACTTAGAAAGAAAAGAAATGGCACCAGGAGCGTACATTGGAGCCCATGGCATTGCTGCAGAAAAACTTTTAGTCTCGATAAACGAATTAGATAATATCAAAGATTTAACACGTCTTGGCCGATGTTGAGCGAAAAGTTGTGCTAGAAAGCCCCCGAGTGAAGTGCCATAGAGATGTATCTGTTAAAAGTACAGCTGTTAAGCTTTAGAAGTCTTTAGTTTGCCAATCATTTCAAAACCATGAATATTGTATATAAGTTGCAATAGTGAACAATAAAGTCAGTATCTATTATACCAAATTGATTAACAGAAGCAGAAGAGACCTGCTATCATCATAGAAGACGTCTACTATATCATCATACAAAATTGTCACTTTATCACCATATCGAATCTATCACAGATGAAATCAGTCAAGAAAGTTAATCATGCAAACTTTTTAGAGGTCATTAGGATAAGCCAAATCCATTATATTACATTATAAATAACCAAATTCAAATGATACTCATAAGCTGAAGTTAGTGTTACAAAAATTTTCCTTTTCATACATTCTAGAATCAAAATCTGCTCAACTTTATGGAACCTAGAAATATTTCTACTCCACTCATAGGTTTATGGCTATGTATCACAACAAATCCTAAATAGTGGTTCACGTTCGGCAAAATTTTGTTTCTAAATCACAGCTTAGCTATTTCAACTTAAATATAACAACCTCAACAAATGCATCCATTCACATAGAAAATAAAATGTGAGGCAGATAATATACAAGAGAATAGAAAAGAGTTGTATTTATGACAAGACAGACAAGGAAAATAAAATAACATTATGAGATTGACATAAGCAAAAACCTTACATGATGAACATCTATAGCATCCAAGAACTTTTCAAATGCTTGAATCCACTCTTGATGATTCCATACACGTGGAATATCAACAGAAATGATCCGATAACCCTGTATGTAAGAAATGATGTAATTCTGCAATATTCCCAATATATTTGAATGCACAATTTCAGAAGTAATGGTAATAACAGAACACATTAGATTCACAAGCAAAAACTAAAAGAAAGAAAATATATACGTGAAATCCATAAATTCAATAATGGCATAACGCTCAGATAGCAGCAATTCCATATTATTATGCAGGATGAAAATTTTTTACACAAAGGTTATGTAGTTAAAAATGAACTGATTTGAGTAAAGGTATCTACAGTCAAGTTATCATAAGCCATAATCTACGCAGCGACCTGTTTGCACAACAGGAGAAAGGGTTGAGCTTGTTCTTTACCCTAGCTCGTAAGGAATAGGTAAAGGTCATTCTAGGGCAGCTTTACTTAAAATGCTTATGACATTAACAACCTACAGTGCAGCGGTATACACTACCCAGAGACATTAGCCTAATGGCTTTATTATACTAAATTCTTTTCTCTACAAGGGAAGGAAAAAATGCAGGACCAATTGCATTGATCCTTGAGGAGCATTTCTAGCTCATGCCGACAGTAAATCTGAAGGATAGCATAAAATAAACACCCTACATAGTTAATGTTCTCTGATCTCGACAGAGCAGCGGAAAACACTGAAATAGAAGACCACGAATCGAAATAGCAATCGAGGACGGGGACAGTGGAATAGACTCCCAACATATTTCAAATATATATATATATATATATACTTTTCTGGTGAAAATATCAAGGTGAAGCAGCAGTACCTTCATTGACAAAAACATAATTTGTTTGTAATAGACATCCGCCGTCCCCGCTATTCCAGGAAGACAGATAAGAGGCGGTACGACTTTCGGACCAAAATCATAGTATCGCCATTGTTTGGTGCCAATCTGCAAGAGTAGACATAATCATCTGAATAAGAATCAAAAGAAAGCCGAGTGAAACCTAAAACCGCAACAGAAAAGAAAATCCTCACTCCTAAACTCAAAAACAACTACCCGGAAACCTTCGTACATCAATAACTATCATAATTGGACAAAAACAAAAGAGAAAACAAAGTCGTCGAATGAAATCAATGCAAGTAATTGTAGAATCGCAGGGGATAAAGAAAACCCTACGAATTCGAAATCGGAGGAGGAAATCGATAGAGAAACTTACAGGAATCCGGTGAAGAGGGACCTGAGATTTGAAGTAGATGAAATCACCGGGCGCCGAGGAGACGCCTTTGATTCCCATAATTTGAAAGCTCTAAAACCTCTCTGTTCTTCCTCTCAGAAATTCTTGGATTTTATTGGAAGGAGGAATTCGGGTTGATAGCTAGCGAAGCGAGAGCCAGATGGGTGGGCCCACTCTTCCAAACCTATCATTCTTTTTTCACAACAAAACCCCTTCCCCCTTTCCTTTAACCGCCTCTTGCATTTGCATTTTCCACCTTTTTATTCTTCTCGTTTATGAATATCCCCCAAATTTATTAAGTTATTATGATTGGGATACTTTCTTTTTATCAAACCACTCCTCCAACTTTTTATATTTTCAATTTCCTCCCCAATTATTTATTTATTTACTGTCTTCCATTTTGGAAAAACTTATTTTTAGCCCCTCTGATTAAAAAAAATGTTTATTTGTTACTTTTTAGGAAAGTTGATCCATAATGTTTACAGAATATAGGGCAAAATCGAAATTAAAGAGTAAAAAATGGATTTTTTCTTAAAAAAAGAAAAAGAAAATGGTAAGTATTGGGCTTGGGCCGGATGCTCTTACCTGATTAAATGGGCCTGTTTTATCTTCCACGTTTTGGAAGTTTTCTCTCTCTTTTTAGTATTTATTTTTTATTTTAAGATATTCCTTTAATTCATGGGATGAGAAACTATTAAAATAGAATTTCTTTTTTTTTTTTTTTTTTTTTTTTTTTGTTTAAACAAGAAATGGAAAGAAACCCTTAGAACGGTTGGGGTGCGCCTGGAGGGCCTACTAGCTATAAGTCTATGACGATGATAACGATGATGAAAGGGACCGGTAGTGTAAAGCCCACGTTTTGGGCTCATGGCCCAATAACAAAATAAGACTTGTAAAAAATAAGTCTTAGGGTTCAGCAGTGGAGTCAAACCCTTTAGCCAACCACAACTAAGCTGCTGCCACTCAACGCTCACGGTCCCGCAGCCGATTGTTTCCCACACTGCTCCACGCCCCTTTCCACATCAGAATACCTCTGCCCAACACCCACATCGCTGCTGCGAAGGAACGACATCGTCGTTGCCAGAACCGACCTCAAGAGGATTAGATGCAACAAAGGTTCAACGCCTATTTAGGAGGAAGGCTCAATTCGAGGGGAGTCAGATCGTCGTTGACTAGGAAAGGCCAAGAAAGCAGCTCTTCAGGCAAGGGACACACCGATTGAAAATAAGCGTTTTGTTTTTTGAAAAATGGGTCGAACAGAATTGTCCTACGGCTAGGTACTGTGTAATCTGATTGCTGTGTGTAATCTGATTGCGGAGCGTAATCTGATTTGTGTAATCTGATTGCTGTGTGTGTAATTTGATTGTCGAGCGTAATCTGATCGCTTTGGGTAATCTGATCGCTGTGTAATCTGATTGTCGTGTAAATTGCTGTGTAATCTGATTGCCGTGTAAATTGCTGTGTGTAATCTAATTGCCGTGTAAATTGCTGTGCGTAATCTGATTGTCGTGCATAATCTGATTGCCGTTCGTAATCTGATTGTCGTGCGTAATATGATCGCCGAGCGTAATCTGATTGCCGTGTAAATTGCTGTGTGTAATCTGATTGTCGTGCGTAATCTGATTGTCGTGCATAATCTGATTGCTGTTTTAATTGCTGTATGTAATCTGATTGCCGTGCGTAATTTGAGCGTAATCTGATCGCCGAGTGTAATCTATTCGCTGAGCGTAATCTGATTGTCGTGCGTAATTTGATTGCTGTATAAATTGCTGTGTGTAATCTGATTGCCGTGCATAATTTGATTGCTTTGGGTAATCTGATCACTTTGGGTAATCTGATTGCTTTGGATAATCTGATCGTTTTGGATAATCTGATCGCTGTGTTTAATCTGATTGTCATGTAAATTGTTGTGTGTAATCTGATTGCTGTGTAAATTGTTGTGTGTAATCTGATTGCCGTGCGTAATCTGATCGCTTTGGATAATCTGATCGCTTTGGGTAATCTGATTATCGTGTAAATTGATGTGTGTAATCTGATTGTCGTGTAAATTGCTGTGTGTAATCTGATTGCCGAGCGTAATTTGATTGCCGTGCGTAATCTGATCGCTTTGGGTAATCTGATTGTCGTGTAAATTGCTGTGTGTAATCTGATTGCCGTGTAAATTGCTGTGTGTAATCTGATTGCCGAGCGTAATCTGATTGTCGAGTGTAATCTGATCGCCGTGCGTAATCTGATTGCTTTGGGTAATCTGATTGTCATGTAAATTTATGTGCGTAACCTGATTGCCGTGCGTAACCTGATTGTCGTGCGTAACCTGATTGCCGAGCGTAACCTGATTGCCATGCATAATCTGATTGTTGTGCTTCCCGTGTGTAATTTGATGACTTTGGATAATCTGATCGCTTTGGGTAATCTAATCGCTGTGTGTAATTGTATGTAATCTGATTGTCGTGTGTAATTGAATGTAATCTGATTTTCGTGTGTAATTGTATGTAATCTGATTTTCGTGTGTAATTGTATGTAATCTGATTGTCGTGTGTAATTGTATGTAATCTGATTTTCGTGTGTAATTGTATGTAATCTGATTGTCGTGTGTAATTGTATGTAATCTGATTTTCGTGTGTAATTGTATGTAATCTGATTGTCCTGTGTAATTGTATGTAATCTGATTTTTGTGTGTAATTGTATGTAATCTGATTGTTGTTTGTGGTAATAGTTACACGCTGTGTGTTTCGGATAACTAACCACCAATAGTCACCTTTGGGGTCATTCTAGAAAACGACTATCCAGGTAAGGGTTACACGTTGTGTGTTTTTCGGGTAACCAGCCGTTGGTAGTCAATTGGAGGAAATAAGGAGGTGAGGTCTTTGTGGTAATGGTCACACGCTGTGTGTTTTCGGGTAACCAGCCATTGATAGTCAATTGGAGGAAATAAGGAGGTGAGGTCCTTGTGGTAATGGTTACACGCTGTGTGTTTCAAGTAACCAACTAGGAATAACCACTTTAAGGAGTAAAGGTAGCGTTGATGTTGTGGTGGCAATTAATCATCTACTGCGTGTTGGTTGATCGCCTTATGACAATTCATATGCTACCCCCTATTGGGAGTTCTTTACTGAGTATTTTTATACTCATCTTGTTTTTTTAAAATGATTTTTCAAGCGAAGCTGTGACACGGAGGTGACAAGTAGGACGCCAAAGTCAGTCACGGGGCGATTCAAGGATTTTTATGTTTTTTGTTTGTAGTCTCATTTTATGGGAGGTTTCCGCGCTTTTGTTATTAATTTAAACTATGTGGTGGATGCTAGTTCGCGGTCACATCAGTCTTCCTTCTTATTTTAAATTTCCTACTCTGTTTTAAATATCTTTCGGCCGCATTTTTTTTTTAAATTTTAAAGGGGAACTCCGCACTTGATTTCTAGTAATTTTTTTTTCATGATTTTCATTCTTTTTCAAATAAATCTAATTATTTTTCGTAACCGCCATGACCGCTACTTATATGATAAATTGGGTCATTACAGGTAGAATATGTAAACAAGAAACCCTGAAAACCTATGAACAAACCCTCTTAAAAAGATGAGCTCAGAAGAATTGAGCCACGAGAATCAATAGCTCAACAAGGTCAAAGAGAAGAATTTTATAGTTTCTATTTTTTTTTTCTCCTTAAGTTGAACTTAAAAGTGAACCTTGGGGGAAGAGCGTAGGAAAGCCTATAACTTAGGAATGTACTCGTAAATACGAATAAGACACGATGAATGGATCAATAAAAATAAGATTTAGGAACAAACTAAGAAAACTATAAACAAGTGACTTATTTTTTCAGATAAAGGCTAGATGGAGCGATCAAGAGCATGCTTGAATTGCAGGATTTTAGGGATCGAGATAGATCAGTGGCTTGTATTTCTCATACCTTATATTTTTATGAACTCGACTATATATTTTTACTAGTTTGTCGTCTATCAATTTGTAAATTGTGCCCCTATTGTTCTTCTATTTTTACATGAATTTCATTAAATGCAAGCACGCTTCAACTTTCATATCGGTTAGTGATAGTTCGAGACTTGAGTACAACCCATCAGAGTTTCATGCGGTTACTCCTTATGTGAAAACTCGGGTGGGTCATCTAGGTAGATCTTGCCACCAACTTGTTGATTTGGACCTACCGCTGAAGAGAGAGGAGTGTTTACAAATAAATAGTTATTGTTGCATCCAACTATTATAGTGGGACAAGATTGAAGCCTACTTGCTACTTCTGCCCGATCATAATGCTTGTATACTTCGATCATCATATAGCCAAATCACAACAATCTAATATTCATATATCTAACATTATGATTTATTTATACGAAATTTAAAATTACTTGCACACTTATTTACTTCGGTTCGAGTTGTCGAGAACTTATAACGATCTCAAACTAACCACTGATGTATTATTCAAACCGAATAGAGGTTCAAATTGGATAGCCTTGGCGTGGGAATAGCAACCAAAGGGTTCAACTTCTTGTTGACAACTCCAAACTTCTCATCGAAATCAAGCACTGAATGTTGAGGCAATTCCCACTCAAAAGCATGCAACAACGACGCCAATATGAGCATCAACATCCTTTCAGCCAAAGGGATCCCTGGACATGACCTCTTGCCATATCCAAACGGGCTGAACTCCATGGCACTCCCACCAAGCTCGTATTTCCCACCACCTTCATTCAAGAACCTTTCTGGCATGAACTTTAAGGGGTTCTCCCAAACTTTAGGGTCTCTTAGAATGGCCCAAATGTTGCAATACATGGCGGAACCCTTTGGGATGGAGTAGCCCTCAAGGGTGATTGTGCTGGTGAGGCTACGAGGCACCAAGAGAAATATAGGTGGGTGTAAACGAAGCGTCTCTTTGACCACTGCATTTAGATAGCTTAATTTGGACATGTGAGATTCTTCTGCTGCTGCGTCTAAACCCACCACTTCTCTTAGCTCTTCTTTCACCTTCTTCATTGTGTTTGGATGCTGCATTAGCTCCGCCATCGCCCACTCAATTGTTGTCACTGTTGTTTTGGTTCCACCAATGACCATGTCCTGTTACCATACACAAATGATCATGTCCTTAATAATTCCATAGACATACCCAAATACACGATCCAACCTTTCAATTCTTTCTGATGTTGTAGTTGTGGACATACACGTAGAACACACTAACTAGCTTCCAAAACTCGGTTAAA